AAATGGATCCCGTTCTTCTGCTCTTGTGGTGCCCCACTTTGGATAATGGGCTTAAGTTTAATCCAGGAAAGTATAAGAGGTGCTAGATCACTGTCATTTCTTATGATTAATATTCCATTGTAAACATGTACCAAATTTTGATAATCCACTCATGGATTGACGGGCACTTGGGTTATTTCCACATTCTTGCAATAGTGAACTGTGCTGCCATAAACATTCGGGTGCAGATGTCTTTATCGTAGAATGTTTTGTGCTCTTTTGGGTAGATGCCTATAGCAGGTAATTTTCTTGATTGGGCTTGAACTGCAAATTCTTTTTCTTGTACCACAGCTCTGGTCTCAGTTCAGCTGGTCTTCTTGGGATCTGTTCCATGCATACATGGTTCACGTGTCAGATTTGGGTAGAGAATTTGGAGATTCCCTCTTTGACTCTTTCCTTGCAAGAAAAGTGTGCCCCATTGCAGCTGTGTGCACCTTTCAGACTGCAGTCAGCTCCAGGCTAAAAGCTGGAGAGATAGGAACTCTCATGTAGAGCGCCTGTCTCTCCTCCTTCAAGTGAGCATGAACTCTCCACCTGAGTCCCTCTGCTCCTGTTCACTCTCCATTAGATGTGACTAGTTGCTTTTTGTATTATGTCTGGGTTTACAGTTGCTTTCTACAGGGAGATGGTCTACAGGATCTTAATCTGACATACCTAGAAGCAAAACTCAAATGTCTTTTTTTAATATCAGAATTTTGTGTTTTGTAATTGTTGTAGTCCATTTGTGTCACTATAAAGGAATACCTGAGGCTGGGTAATTTATAAAGAAAAGAGGTTTATGTGGCTCTTGGTTCTGCAGGCTGTACAAGAAGCATGGCACCAGCATCTGCTTCTTGTAAGGGGCTTAGGAAGATTCCACTCAGGAAGAGGAAGGGGAGCCAGAGTGTGCAGATCACATGAAGAGAGTGGAGGCAAGAGAGGAGAGGGAGAGGTGCCAGGCTCTTTCCAATATCCAGTTCTCATGGGAATTGAGTGAGAACTCACTCACTCCTGGGAGAATAACGATAAGTCAGTCATGAGGGACCCACCTCTAACATTAGGATCAAATGTCAACATGAGACTTGGTGGGGCCAGACAAACCATACCCAAACCATAGCAGTAATTAATTATAATTAGTGATCAAAAAATGATTTCCTTTACTTCTGCATCTCTAGACTATATATGAGATGAGGAAAGAATTTGCTCACTTCAATGTTAATTTCAACTTAATGTATAAAACTATATCATTAACTTTGAAATTAAAGTTCTAAATTGTAGAGGATTGTACAAGTCAATTCTACAATTGTTTACTAATTGCCAATTCTTTGCAAGGCATGATGCAAGAGATATAAAGATATATAAAAAATGACCCTGGCCCTGGAAGTTTGTAATCTAATAGAGGGGATAAAATAAATGCCTAAAAACCATACACAATGGGCTGTTCATGGTACCATAAGAGGAAAGCAAAGTGTAACAGAAGTTCAGAAGAGGAAAGACTATTTTTCATTGATGAAATGAGGAAAGACTTCATGGAAAACAACCATTGGGATGGTTAGAAGATTAATAGGTAGCATCTAATTGGGGTAGCAAAGGGAAGGACTTTCACGATGGAGCAGCATAAATAAGGGTAAGAAAGGGAAATGCAGAAAATATGTGGGCAACTTTGTACCTGTGGTTCTCAAACTTTAGTGTGTCCAAGAACCACCTGGGGAAGCTTATCAAAATGTAGATATTTGGGTCTTAATAACAATTCTGATTCAGAGGTCTGCAGTAGGGTCCAGGAATCTGAATTTTTAAGAATTAGACCAAAGTATTTTCATTCAGGTGCTCTGGAACCACCCTTCACAAAATTGGCTTCGAGTAAGATCAGTGTGTGGATTGATAGATCAGTCTAGGAAGATTAGTTAGAATAGGGTAGTTGAGAAGACTGGAATCCACAATAATGATTTTGTTTTGAGTACATATTAAATTGTTAAAAATGTTATATATTTTAGAGATATATTTTGAAATGTTTACACTGAAATGATATGATGCTTCGAATTTTCTTCAAAATCTTGTCCGGGCAAGATGGGAAGTGAAAAGAGAGTTTGGGTGGGCGTATGGATGAAAAATTGTTTGTGTGTTGATGATTGCTGAAGCTAGGTGATGGATTCATGGCGATTTATTATGCAGCTCTTTCTATCTTTGTGTATGTTTGAATGTTTCAATAATAAAAAGTAAACAAAAAGAGATTGGAGGAAATGGGAAAAACAGAAAACAAGTTAGAGATGCAGTATAGTTCAGTGGTTAGTGCATGGTTTATTGTCTGGATAGCTTATGTATTGAAACTTCCTAGCTATCCCTCAAGTTCCTCATCTGTAAAATGGGATAACTATATATTATTGATAGGGTTATTTGGAGGATTAAATCAGATAATGTAATATAAAGCACTCAGCACAATGCCTAGCCTTTCATGTTCCATAAGAGAGAGCTTTGGCCAACAGTGGAGTGTGATTAAAGATGTTTGAGCATGAGGTGACATAAAGCTGTTTACAGAACTATTGGAAAAGACTATTTCAGCTGACTGGGGTTACTACACAAGGAAATTAAGATTTTAGTATTAGAGCCAAGGAAACCAGCAAAACAGGTCATACCTAGCACAGTCTCAAAGATGAACTGGGCATACTCCTGCCCGGAACCTGTAGATGCTGAGTTAGCCTTAGTGACAGAGGGGCAGGTTTTCTGCCTGGACAAAGCCTGGAACCGCATGAGAGGGTAAGACTGGTGGGGGCCAGCCAGGAATGTGCATTTCAAGGCCAGTGCAGTGGTGGAGGACACCAGATCCAAGAGAAATCCGTGGGTTCTGGCAAGTGCGGGGTCTACCTAGCTGGGCCAAATGACTGGAACACCCAGAGTCATGAAGGGAAGAGGCTTGTTGAGACATCTGGACAGGTTTAGGGACTCTCACCCAAATGAGCAGGCTGGGCGAAGAAAGATCTAAAGTCACCTGCGATTCTAGACTGGTGAGGCCAAAGTGCTGCAGAGACAGGGAGCCACGATCGGTTTCCAGAGGGGTGGAATGGGGGCGTGAGGTGGGTGTGGAAGGAAAGTAAAGCCCAAGTCTTGAGAGGAATCAGTAGTATCACTGGGGAGGCAAGTTGTGCTAGTTGAGACCTGTGAACCAGCACTCTGATTCAGGACTCAGGATTCCCGCACAGCCACCTGGAATGGCTACTCCAGACAGACCTGGATTATCATGGTCTGCAGAAGGCAGGGTGTCTTCCCTATGGTCCCAGAGGTTAGGTTTTATTAGCCTCTTCACCAGAGATTCTCTTAAGTCTCATCTGGTTTGAGCTGTAATAATCTGGTCTAATGAAACATAAGTAATAGTAAGTTGTAAACACTTGTCTCGTCCCTCCCATATCTGTACTCTTGTTTTAAGACATCTCAAAATATCACTTGTGGAAATACATGGTTGCTTGTATATGATGGACAGTCCTGTCTCCATGAAGCTGGTTATAAACTGTCGCCTGTTTATTATAAAGACCTCTCTCTCCTCTGCCTCCTATTCTGGTTAGTACTGTACAAGAAATAATTTAGGTCTCAGGTATATGATGATGATGGAAACCCAAATGTTGTGTTTTAGTCTGAATTTGCTTGACTCTAAGATTAGATGATTAACAAAGTTTAGAGGATGGAGGTTCTCATTCCTAATAATAATTTGTCCTCATGAAAACAAAACAAAACAAAAACTTGTATTAATTGACAATATGTTTTTTGGTGAATATTTTTGAGAAGACAGAATTATTCAGGTACTTTTTCAATCTTCATTTTACTGCCGTAGACCTGTCCTAAATCTTAACAAATAATATTAAGCCACCAAGGAACTGTTAAAAATTTACGAAACTTACCTATAAGAGAAAACTTTTCAGCAATTAAATAGTGATGTAGATTGATATTTATTGACATGCAAAGATACCCAGAATATATACTAAGTGAAAATATCAGGTTTCAAAGCAGCACGTATAGTTGAGCCCATTTTTGTAATAAAACATGTCAGGTGTAGGGGCGGGTGTGTTTGTGTGTGTGTGTGTGTGTGTTTAGGTTGAAAAACAATCTTCGATTTCTAGATATGTACTCTTTAAACTATATTTTCGATGTTTCCTCTTATTACTTTGATCTTCAAATGAAGAATGCTTATATACTTAATTTTTGAACTTGTAAGTATTTGTACAGTGATAAGAACTTAGCAAATAGTTGCTTTAGGATATGTGACCCTTAATAGAAAATTTTCATTGCAATGTTTTTCGTTCCTGGTTATAGACATAAAACTATGTTTCTGAATTTTTTTACGCAAGGTAGTTCATTAACATTGGTGTGACTTTCTATGTTGAAACTAACTCTTCTTTTTTCTTTAACAGCTGGCCAAATTCCGCAGTCTCTTGTGTACGGCGGAGGGGGAAGCAGCGGCTTTTTTGTTGAGCAATCACCGTCCGCCACAGCCCCTGAAGGGCCGCAAAGTGAGAGCCTCTTTCCATTAAAAGTTGTTACCAGTGGACCACCCCAAACATGACTGTAGAGAGCCAACAAAACAAAACAAAAGACAAAAATCCCTGCTAATATTTTTTTTCCTAGAATTCGAACTTACGGGTACTATTTTACTATCAGCTTCAGTGACAAAGAAAACCAGATCTCTTTAATTAAACTATCATCACTCCTCTGTCTCAGATTCGCATTCATGGATATTCAAGCAGTGAACGTTTTTGACATTTATCAAAACCCACAAAATATGTCTACTTCAACCTGCGTGAAAACATGATCAACGTGGTAAACCTCACAGTGTATCAAAACTTTTACCTTGTCATAGAGATTGAATTAGCTACAGCTCTCAATGGTGTTAGGTGGAAAACCTGAATTTATTTCCCAAATGATAGGATTGTGATACCTTTTTTGAAACAAGTGATTCCGCTTAATGTTTTGTTATTATTTCAATTCATAAAAAGGAGATAGTATTTCCTTTTAAAGTGAATTTTGACGATGATTATGTTACTCATCCTCATTCGATGATACCTTTAATAAAATGAACAATATGAGCATTATGGAGAAGGGGATATAGCTACTTAATATGTCTACTCCACAGATCAAAAATAACCCATACAGTTTTGGTGAGGAATTCCTCAGGATGTCAGTGGCTATTTACACTGTCATGAATCACACCATGTATCATACTCACTCAGTAATGTTAATGATCAACTGGCTAATAGTTGACAAGATACAATGCTTGCCAGTTTATGGCCTTAACATGGTTTGAAACTAACAGATTGTACATACTATCAGTGTAGGCAGAGCTGCTCTCAAGCATGGTTGCCTATTTTTGCCTTGTGTTTTGGCAGCAGAGAAGGAAGTCATCCTGTGTGGGTCATTGTTCTGTCAATTGGTGGAAAAAAAATCACTCGAATCCCATATAAATATACAATTGGTCCATAAACCTGTCGTCTCATTTCCATGGCAAAGCCCATTTCTCTTTTTGTACATGCCCTTCCATCTCTTAAGTAATTTTGTAAGGTGGTGCTTGATGTTAATTTTAAGCTATCTCTTGTTTATTTTTGTTTGTTTTTGGTGGAGGAGGGCAGTGTTCCTTTTGCCCTTTCTTGTACAAATGGAATGACACTAAGCATTAACTTAACAACCACATTTAAGACTTGACCACATACTACGCTGCTGTCATCTTCTAACACAAGTTTACCTGAGTTTCCTTGAGTTTGATGGTTTATGTCAGACATCTCTCTTCCTCTGGATGTAGGTTTTAATGATTGACATTCTTCTGCAATGTTCTTCTTGATAGAATAACTGAGTATCAGTAAGTTGTGTAACAATGATGTATATTGTCTCATAAGATGAGCTCCTGAAGAGTGACGCTGATACCTGTTCTTTTCCCCTCACCATGTCTAGCATGAGGCCTTACAGAAGATTGATATGTAGTAATTATTTACAGAATTGAATATTGTTAAAAATTTTATTTACTATCTTTGGTAAATTATCTCTCTGCTTGGGATCAAATGCACTATCAGTTAATGTAACAAGTAAAATGTTATCTCTTGAAAATAGTTTCTTTTTAAAGGAATGCTTATTAAACCTAACTTGTGTAACCAGAAATTCTAATGGTTTTAAAAATACCAGTGTTGAATGGAAAGATGTTTCTTTAGTTTGGGAATACATGGGGAAAGACATGTTGTGAAGTGTCCTTGTCAGGGAAAGAAGCCTGTTTTCTCAGAGAATGTAAATTGGTCTATCTGGAGGGCGTGTAGGATGGGGATTCTCATTACTGTGTGCGAGAGTTCAACTTTGTAACTTACGGTTTCTGGTGCAGTATTGCTACATATTGCACCTTAATGACCAAAAAGGTCTACATAGCACTGATTCATTTGGACATTGTCTGCTAATATATATAGCTTAGAGGCAAAAGGCCTAAGTATATGATAAAATTGTTTTATTGCCCTCTTTTTAAACAAATTAAAGAGTTGTAAATAGTAGTATAGATCTCTTTTGTTTCCCACAGCAAATATTGGATTTATGTTTGCTAAGCATTTTGTATAGATGCCATATTTCCCAATACTCAGGTGATCGTTTCGCCCTGGACACCGTATCTTCCAGAACAACACTGCTGGGGTGAGGGACATAATTACAGAAAGGGAGAAGAGGAGACCCGGGGTAGAAGGATGGAAAAGATGCTCTTGCAGTAAATGGTCAGTATTTTAAAGGGGGAATATACAATTTTTTAAAAAAGAGTATTTTAACAAATATTAAAGACATTTTAAGAGTAAAAATTATGTGAATTATGTATTAATAAATTTCCCAAAGGGGAAAAAGGAAGGGGCAGTGATTTGTTCCTCACCTTGAGCACCAGGTGGTGCTGTTGGATCAGATGAGCTGATCTGCACTCGGGGGCGTGGCCTGGCCACCGGGAGAATGGACACCATGGCCATTATTTTACTCCCATTGGCTGGTGCAGGATTTCAGCCTCTTCCAAAGGCTCCGTCTCCTCATTATTTCTAAATATTCCCAAGATGTGTCTCATTTGTGCTCATGAGTAAGTTGTCAGCTCACTTGGTGTTTCGTAATTTCTTCCCTTTTGACCTCATCTCCCTCTCTCCCCCTCCCACCCCTGAGGGACATCTCCTGGCCACCATCCCCTCTGGGAGCCGCGCTGCCCCTGCTCTGGGTACCGCCTAATCTTCTGGGTCCCATACTGATGCCGTTGGGCCTTGCCTCTGCTGCTGCCAGGGAAGAGGAGGCAGAGGGAGCATTCATTAGCAGTAAACATTTGCCATGCCCAGCCCTCTGCAGTCTACCCCTACTAAGGACAAGTGGCCTCCGGTGAAAGCAAGTTTGGATTTCAATTTCCTGGTGGCAAGGCTGCTTTAACGTTGGGTTACTCTTCACCTGTCCTTCTGCAAATATGTAGTTCTTACCTAAGTTTTCCACAGATGGGATAAAGTCTCATCTATGAGCATCGTTCTCCTGTGCAAGAAGCATGGACTAGCTCCGGGGTCATCAAGCAGTTTTGATCTGTCAGTGGATTTCGAAGGCCCATTTATTAGAAGCTTTTTTCTCAAAGGTTTTCTTACAAAGGGTCTCTTTGTTATTTTTACCACCCCCCTCCTTCTTCCCTTTGGCATGCCCCATCTTTGTTGAGATTCTCGAGAGGTTAGACGGTTAGCTGGGATTCATTCTTCATTCCTTATTCGACTCCGGGATTTCTGCTGCGTCAACACCACATCCCTGAGTTCCAGCCTCAGAGATTTTGTTAAAAGCCATCCGCTGCCTTCGCCAGTCTAGCTTTTCCCCTGTTGTCCCCTATATATCTATCCATACCCAGTTCTCTACTCCTTGGAGTCCATTCCTAGAATTAGAGAAAGTAAAATACATATTTTGTTCAAAGAAAAGTTGTGGGAACGTGATTAGAATTTTCTAGCTTTGGGTTTCTAGGGAACTCAGGTTACTGCTTTCTCAATAAGAAAATAATTTTGAGAAGCCTTTGGGATTTCCGGTCCTAATCACCCAGAACTGAGTCACCTGAGGCCAAATGTGAGCACTAGTCTCTGCGTGTTTTTATTTTTATTTATTTATTTTTGAGACAGAGTCTTGCTCTGTTGCCCAGGCTAGAGTGCCGTGGCATCAGCCTAGCTCACAGCAACCTCAAACTCCTGGGCTCAAGCAATCCTCCTGCCTCAGCTTCCCGAGTAGCTGGGACTACAGGTGTACACCACCAGGCCCAGCTAATTTTTTCTATTTTTAGCAGAGATGGGATCTCACTTTTGCTGATTTCGAACTCCTGAGCTCAAGCTATACTCCCACCTCATCCTCCCAGAGTGCTAGGATTACAGGCGTGAGCCACCGCGCCCGGCCTCTTGCATATTTTTAGATTTGAGGTTAAGGGCAGTAGCCACGAAGGAAGTAGTAACTCTCACAAGGATGGGGGATGAAGGGCAATAGCTTGTGAGCATGGGCAAGTTTCTTAACATCTCCAGGTCTCTCTATCCACTCCATAAAAAGAGAATAATAATACTGTCAACATAGTTTGTTGTTCATCTTACAAGAGATGAGGTACCTAAAGGAATCATCACAGTGCCTGGCACACTCAATAAATGTGAGCTGTTATTGGTGAAATGTGTGCAGTCTATCAACAAGGAAGATACAAGTAAGAACAATCTAGGAATTTCAGATTCCATTTTAGGTTCAGACACCAGATGTCACTGCTGAGTTCTAAGGAAAAAAGGGTTGTGGTGGGGGAGGATGGTGGGGGGATGGGGAAGAGACTGCTCTCTTAAGAACATAAGCCTCTAAGCATTTCTTTAAATACCCTATTAAAAGTGAGTCAGCCTTAGAAAAATTGTAAGGCTTTAATTAACGCATTTAGACATCAATTAAGCCAGTATGGTTTGGGGATTGAACCGATTGAAGTTGATGCAAAAATAAATGGTGATACTATATTTATGAAGCTGCTGCCTCTGATATAAGGCTGAAACAACAGAATCAGCCTCAGAGGCATGGAGGAGGAGATGGAAACGGTATGTTAGTCAACAGGTGAATAACAGAAGGAAGAAAAACAGAGTTAAAACTGATTCTGTGTTTATGTAACAGGTAACATCATATAAATATGGATCTTTTTCTTCGTGTTAAATATTTAGCCTATTTAAATATTGAAGCCTTATTTTAAATGCCTCCCTCAATCTGCATTTGTATAGAACATCAAATTAAGTAAAAATAAACAGCCTGAAGTAAAAGTTCCTGCATTAGGGATATATACATAAGAAAAATGGAGCTTTAAGTTGCTGTACTGATTTTGTTAATTGCCTTGGGGGTTTGAGAAGGGAAATACTACTTCTTATCAATATTAAGAAGTGGGGTGTGGCGAGGATCCAGAAGCACACCTACTCGCTGTTTTCTGTGGTTGCCTTACTGCTGCAGACAGTCTTAGCCCAAAAGCAGGGTAGGCATTTACTGCACTGAGCAGAAAGAGTAAGATGGGCAGCTGGCTTAATCTGAATTTTTCTCTTTTGTTTCCATAATTTACCTCAAACATCAGCTGACTGTAATAAAATGCTCACATTGCTAATGACAGCTGAAATTTGTTGAGGCACTCTTCTAAGCTCTGTTCACACATCAACTCATTTTA